CACACACACACAGGTATACACACACACACACACACACACACACACAGGTACTCATACACACACAGTACACACACACACACACACACACACAGGTACTCACGCGCCAGGAAGGTGTACGGGATGATCGCGTCTGGCCACAGCTGTGTCGAGTCGGCGGCCTTCCTCCTCACCCTCACTCCTGACCCTGTAGAGGAGGGAGGGGAGGGGTGAGTGCTGGTGAGGGGAGGTGGGGTGAGTGCTGGTGAGGAGGAGGGGTGAGTGCTGGTGAGGAGGTGGGGTGAGTGCTGGTGAGGTGGGGGTGGGAGTGCTGGTAAGGAGGTGGGGTGAGTGCTGGTGAGGAGGGAGGGGTGAGTGCTGGTGAGGGGAGGGAGGGTGAGTGCTGGTGAGGGGAGGAGGTGAGTGCTGGTGAGGGAGGTGGGGGTGAGTGCTGGTGAGAGGAGGTGAGTGCTGTGGAGGTGGGGTGAGTGCTGGTGGTGGTGGGGGTGAGTGCTGAGGGAGAGGTGAGTGCTGATTAGGGAGGGAGGTGAGTGCTGATGAGGGAGGGTGAGTGCTGTGGTGAGGAGGGGGTGAGTGCTGGTGAGGAGGGAGGTGAGTGCTGGTGAGGAGGGGTGAGTGCTGGTGAGGGAGGGGGTGAGTGCTGGTGAGGGGAGGGAGGGGGTGGGTGCTGGTGAGGGAGGGGTGGAGTGCTGAGTGAGAGGGAGGGATGAATGCTGGTGAGGGAGGAGGGAGGGGTGAGTGCTGGTGAGGAGGGAGGGGTGAGTGCTGGTGAGGGGGGAGGGTGAGGTGCTGATGAGGAGGGAGGTGAGTGCTGGTGGGGAGGGGGTGAGTGCTGGTGGGGAGGGTGGGTGCTGGTGAGGGAGGGAGGGGGGTGCTGGTGAGGGTGAGTGCTGATGAGGGAGGGAGGGTGGTGATTGCTGGTGAAGGGGGTGGTGCTGTGAGGGAGGGTGAGTGCTGCTGGTGAGGGAGGGAGGGGGGTGAGTGCTGAGTGAGGAGGAGGTGGTGCTGGTGAGGGAGGGAGGGTGAGTGCTGATGGGGAGGAGGGTGGAGGCTGGTGAGGAGGGTGGTGCTGGTGAGGGGGTGGGTGCTGGTGAGGGAGAGGACTGGTGCTGGTGAGGAGGAGGGAGGGTGAGTGCTGGTGAGGGAGGGTGAGGTGCTGGTGGGGGAGGAGGGAGGGGGTGAGTGCTGATGAGGGAGGGGATGAGTGCTGAGTGAGGAGGGAGGGTGAGTGCTGGTGAGGAGGGAGGGTGAGTGCTGGTGGGGAGAGGGTGAGGTGGAGTGGGGAGGGAGGGTGAGTGCTGGTGAGGGGTGGTGCTGGTGGGGAGAGGGTGAGTGCTGGTGGGGAGGGAGGGGTGAGTGCTGGTGGGGAGGGACTGAGTGTGGGGAGGGAGAGGGTGAGTGCTGGTGGGGAGGGTGAGTGCTGGTGAGGGAGGGGGAGGAGGGTGAGTGCTGGTGGTGAGGGAGGAGTGCTGGTGAGGGGAGGGAGGAGGGGTGAGTGCTGGTGAGGGGAGGGGTGAGTGCTGGTGCTCTTCCCTCTCCTCCCTCCCTCCTCCCTGTCCTCTCTGTCCTCCCTCCTAAGAGTGCCAAGGTCAAGGTTGAGTTCCACTGGCCTACAATATGCCTGTGTGTGTGTGTGTGTGTGTGTGTGTGTTTGTCTGTGTGTGTGTGTGTGTGTGTGTTTGTGTGGTTGATTAGCTTCTGTGGGCATGTGATGGCTTTCCAGTCAGTCAGCCAGTCAGTCAGTCTAATTAACTGACTGGCCTGCCACCACCCCTCGTCAGCCCCACACCTCGTCAGCCACCAAGCCGTCAGCACCTACAGCTTAAGATCATTCCCCTGCCGGTAACAATAAACATCTTATCTAAGGACAAATAAACATCTTCCCTCAGCTTAACTTGGGTAAAAAAAAAGCTAGACTTCATAATCTTAAGCTTTTTTGTAGTGGATGACTTTTTTAGCTGTTGAAATACGCTGATAAGACGCTAAGTGGCTTAAGCATTGAATTACGTAACGACACACGAAATATCCTAGTCGGAATAATCTACAGAAGACCCCACACTAATGAAAGGAATTTTCTTGATAAATTTTCGGAGCTTATCTTTATCATAAGTTCAGAGAGGAAAGACTGCTACATTACAGGAGATTTCAACCTTGATCTATTAAAATCAGAAACCGACACCTCAGTTTTTGACCTTCTTGCTACCTATCATTCTAAACTCTTCTTCAACACCATAACGAAACCCACTAGAGCAGTGGTTCTTAACCTGGGGGGCGTCAGTAATTTCCAGGGGGGCTAATATTGAGAAGTTTATGAAAAAATGCATAGTATCGCCTTATAACTTTAGTTTTCTATAGGCTACTTCTTTGACTTAGGGCTTACCATTTTCTATACTTATTGACCCCCCTCCCTATCCCTCGAAACCCATGGGGGGATAACTCGTCCTGGACCTGTATACTGCTCGTTGGTGACTGGTGAGCCCGTTCTCTCCCAGTCTTCTGCACACGTCCGTGGCAATAATTCCTCTTCTCTCACATTTATTCAGTTAAGGCTGTTGAGGTATGTTTTATCCCAGTTGTTATATTTACCTAAAAATAGTCAGCAGCCATAAGTTTATTGGTGACTTGTGAACACACATGTGTTGCTCTGTTGGTTATTCGCAAGTTTTGAATTCCGTTTGTATTTTATCAGAAGTTGGTGGTGCTTAAAATCATGTGGTGGTAACAGGTGGTTATGGTAAAGTTGTATTTATGATGATATTGATTTGTTTCTTAATAATCATGTGTTTATGATCATGATGTGTTTACTATAATGTTGTGGTGTTTGTTAATATTTACTTAATAATTATGTGGTGGAGTTTATGATCATGTAGTGGTGCTTATGATCATGTTGTGACCATTGATGTATGTTAATAATCATGTGGTGTTTATGATCATGTGATGTTTGTTAATGATATGGTGGTGTTTATGATCATGTATGATTGTAGTCACTTGTAGTGTTTACGAACTTTACGATCATATGTTTGTTACTGATCATGTGGTTGTGATTATCATGATGTTGTGGTGTTCATGAGCACGTGGTGATGTTTATCTTACCTTACACGTGCCTTATGTTTTGTTCATAGATGCAAGGGGGGCGTGGAGGGAAGGACCAATTACTAGAGGGGGCGTGGTAGTAAAAAGGTTAAGAACCACTGCACTAGAGTAACTGCCACCTCTGCCACTGTGATAGATCATATCTGGACTAACAACACTCCTAACAACCTAGCAAGTGGAATTATTTATAACAATATCTCAGATCACTTCCCAGTTTTTGCCATGTATAAAACAGCCACAAGACCTGAAAGGTCTTGTGGAGTCTCAATTCAATACAGAGACTACTGCGCCGACAACATGCTCCTTTTTGAAAACTACCTAATGAATGCTAACTGGGATCTCTGTCTATGCCTCCGACAACCCAAACTTGAACAGCTGTAACTTCTCTTGCATCTTCAATACTTGCTTTGATAAATGCTTCAGTGAAAACTGTATCCATATCCAAACCCTATATCACAAGCGAAATTAAGATAATGATGAAGGAAAAACACAAACTCCAAAGGAAATTTGCAAAAAGACCTATAACTTTCGGTGATGCTTACCGAAGTATCAGAAATAGAGTAACTCAAGCAGTTAGAAATGCCAGACGTAACTATTATACAAATAAGCTCCAGTCAGCATCAGGCGACAGTAAGAAAACCTGGAATGTCATAAATTCTATCCAGAACAGGAACACTCAGCCTTCGGCCCCCCACTCAGCTTTTATGATAAACGATTCAGTTATAACGGAACCCTCCCTCAATGCCAACCACTTCAATGAATATTTTATTAATGTTGGCAAATATCTTGCAGAGAGCATCCCCGATCACCATGAGGAATTTAGAGCCTACCTGCAAAACAGACAGCAAAATGAGCTGTTCTTATCCCCTGTCACAGCAGATGAATTACTGGCCATCATAAAAATGTCCAAAGATGCAACAACAGGCGAAGACAATATACCAATGAGGATCATTAAGAAAGTAGCCCACTTATTACTACCTGTTCTCCTGCACATTTGTAACTCCTCCTTCACTAGTGGTGTTTTTCCTGATAAACTGAAAATTGCTAAAGACCACCCGGCATATAAAAAATCTGGGGACAAAGGTCTCTTCAAGAATTACCGCCCCATATCAGTCCTCCCAGCTTTGAGTAAGATACTGGAAAAGCTAGCATGTAATAGACTAAATTCCTTCTGCAATGCCAATAACATCTTTACAGACTCCCAGTTTGGATTTAGAGCTAGAAGGTCGACTGAGAGTGCTCTGCTATCCTTTACTAATGGCATCTTAAATTTCTTTGATGACAGTCAGTTCACAGTCGGTATATTCTTGGACCTCTCTTAAAGCCTTCGATACTGTCGACCATACCATCCTCCTTTCAAAGTTTGAACATTACGGCATTAGGGGCCTGTCCCACAATTGGTTTACCTCATATCTGTCCAACAGGATGCAGTATGTCTGTTATAATAATCACCAATCTGACTCCTCGCCAATCTTGTATGGAGTCCCCCAAGGTTCAATTCTCGGTCCAGTATTGTTTTTGTTGTACATAAACGACATAGTCCACGCCAGCTCACTCATAAAATACAACATATTTGCAGACGATAGTAATCTCTGTGCCAGCAACTCAGACCTCCATTCCTTGATGAGAACTATGAACACTGAATTAACTAAAGTCGGGACCTGGGTAATACGTAATAAACCGACTTTAAACCTTGAAAAAACCCACTACACGATCTTTCACAGAAGAAAAAACTTACCTCCAGGCTTGAACCCCCTGTACCTTGGTAATATAGTCCTCAAACGCGAACAAAATACTAAATTCCTCGGAGTTATTGTTGATGAGAAACTTAACTGGAGAAACCACATACGAGCCATTCACAGTAAAATCAATAAACAGTGCGGTATCCTGTATCACACTCGACGGTCACTCACTCTCACAGCAATGAAAGAAATCTACCATGATCTTGTTTACCAACACCTGATACACTGTCACACCCTATGGGTGGCCTCTGGCTCTTCAAAAACACGATCTCTGGTTACTGCACAAAAGAGAGTTGTACGGACGTCGGACAATGACCTACTTGAAAAAAACAGATCACACAAACGAAAAATTTGCTATATTGAAATTTTTAAAATTCGAGGATATTAACACCTACTGCTGTGCCCTCTTTGTTTACAATTCTAGCAATCACTTGCTTGACAATAATTATTTCCAGTTCCAGAATAATCAGAGATACAACTTAAGGCACCCAGAGCTACTAAGACCACCCCCCATGCGCTCCTCTCAGTCCCAGACCTCCATAAAATATCAGGTGTGAAGGTGTGGAACAACTTACCCCCACCCATCCGAGCAAAGACTACGCTCCCTTCCTTTAAATCATCTCTAAAAAAGTATCTATTGTCGAAGTATTTATACTTTTTGTAACACTTACTATATTTACAGTACCTGCTTTTATTGTACCATCAAAACCGTTTTATCGGAAATTATCATGTAAATAAATAAGTAATTACCATTGCAATAAACATAATTGCCAACTAGACATAATCCTGAAAGCTCTGTCCTCTTGTTCAACCTTATTACTGTACAACCCAGGTTGTACTGCTCCCCCATTATACTTATGTTTTTAAATTCCACTCTAATTTATATGTATATGTGTATGTATGTGTATGTGTGTGTATATGTGTGTATACGTATATATATATATATATATATATATATATATATATATATATATATATATATATATATATATATATATATATATATATATATATATATATATATATATATATGTGTGTGTGTGTGTGTGTGTATAAATAAATAAATAAATACAAAATAATAAATAATAAATAATAAAATAAATAAATATTGAAGTGATAACCGTGGTAACATCATGAGATGTTCTTATTACCACCATGCTATTGTACTATTCCAGATGATACTAAATGTTACATAATACTTCCTTGAGATAAATGTATAGTATATATCAGGTGCCTCAAAGAGAGCTCAGGTTCTCAACTGGCTCAGCCATGTTAATATTGTTATTATTATCCACTCTGTATCTGTGTTTTTATGGCTAAATAAACTGTTTCAATTCAATTCAATTCTACCCCTTTTATGGCTCACAGAGGGACCTTCTACCCCTTTTATGGCTCACAGAGGGACCTTCTACCCCTTTTATGGCTCACAGAGGGACCTTCTACCCCTTTTATGGCTCACAGAGGGACCTTCTACCCCTTTTGTGGCTCACAGAGGGATCTTCTACCCCTTTTATGGCTCACAGAGGGACCTTCTACCCCTTTTATGGCTCACAGAGGGACCTTCTACCCCTTTTATGGCTCACAGAGGGACCTTGTACCTCTTTTTTTGGCTCACAGGGGGACCTTGTACCTCTTTTTTGGCTCACAGGGGGACTTTCGGATCACCTGAAGAATCATCAACCCACCCTATAATATAGATAATATTGCAAATTACACGATGCTTATTACGTTAGGTTAGGTCAGGTTAGATTAGGTCAGGTTAGGTTAGGTTAGGTTAGGTTAGGTTAGGTCTGGTTAGGTCAGGTTAGATTAGGTCAGGTTAGGTCAGGTCATGTCAGGTCAGGTTAGATAAGGTTAGGTTAGGTTGAGGCTGAAGATTTACTACCATGGAGGGTGCTGACCCCACCTGAAGAATTGTCACCGTGCTAAACTCTGGGGTGACGATTCTTCAGGTGATCCGGACTTTTTACCTCGTATGGCTCAGAGGGACTGTACATAGTTTATGGCTCGTGGGTGGATCTGGACACGTGCCAGGTCGTTAGTGTCATGTGTAGGAAGTAATGTAGGGAAGCAATGGGAGGTGTAGGAATAGTACGTGGGAGTGAGAGAAGGAGAGGAGGAGGAGGAGGAGGAGGAGAATAAATTGAGAAAGAGAGAATGGAAAGGAGAGAATAAGAGAGAGAGAGAAAGGAAAGATATGAGAGATCAGGATAATGCGGAAAGGAAGAAAGGAAGGAGGAGAGAAAAGAAAAGAGAAAGAAAAGCTAGTGAGAATGACATAATAATGAAGTAACAGGTAAGAATGGTTGGGGAGAGGAGAGGAGGGGGAAGAGGAGGGAGGGGAGAGGGAAGGAGAGGAGGGGGTGGAGGAAGGGGGGAGAGGGATGGGGTGGAGGAGGGGGAGGGGAGGGGAGGGGTGGAGGGGAGGGAGGGAGGAGGGGGAGGAGAGGAGGGGGTGGAGAAGGAGGAGAGATGGGGGGGTGGGAGGAGGGGAGGAGAGGAGGGGGTGGGAGGAGGGGAGGGAGAGGGTGGGGAGGGGGAGAGGTGGAGGAGGGGAGGAGAGGAGGGGAGGAGAGGATGGGGTGGGGTGGGAAGAGGGGAGAGAGGATGGGGTGGAGGAGGGGAGGGAGAGGAGGGGGTGGAGGAGGGAGGTGTGGTTGGTATGCTGGTGGTGGTTACACGTGTGGTGCTGGAGGCTGACCCCACCCCACCCCACCCCACCCCAACTCTAGGACACGAGTGTTACAGTCCAACAGTGTGAGCCAACCACTGCCACCACTCCCACCACCACTACTACCCCACCACCACTACCACAATTACCCTCCACCACTACCACCCCCACCACCACTACCACAACTACTCCCCAACACCACTACCACAACTACACTCTCACCACCACTACCAACTACCACTACCACCCCACCACCACTACCACCCCACCACCACCACCACTACCAACTACCCCAACACCACTACCACTACCACAACTATCTCACCACCCTACCACCCCCACCACCACTACTACCCCCACCACCACTACCACTACCACAACTACCCTCACCACCACATACCACTACCACAACCACTCTCACCACCACTACCACCCCCACCACCACTACCACTACCACAACTACCCCAACACCACCACAATACTCCTCACCACCACTACCACAACTACCCCCACCACCACTACCACTACCATCACCATCCCCACCACTACTACCACCACCACCTCCACGATAAACAAAATATCCCCAAATCACGTGTCAAAAACATCCCTCACTCGCTCAAAACCTAATCAGTCAGGTCAAGTAAGACGAGACCAAATTACTTATCAAAACAACTCGTAAGACGTGAAATCAACATGGCGTCAAAAATACACTCAGACTTTACAAATGAAAAAGTCAAATATAACTTAAGTTCTTATTAACGAAAAGTACTTAAAGTAATTGACTCACAACCCTAAAAGTAGAGTTAAAAGTAATGATAAGTAACTAAACACCTGTTGAAGTGAGTTGTTTATTTACTTAAGAATAGTATGCCAATTGAATGCTTAAGCCACTTAGCGTCTTATCAGCTTATTTCAACAGCTAAAAAGTTATCCACTACAAAAAAGCTTAAGATTATGAAGTCTAGCTTTTTTTTTACCCAAGTTGCTTGAGGGAAGATAAGCTTTATTTGTCCTTAGATAAGATGTCTATTGTTACCGGCAGGGGAATGATCTTAAGCTGTGTAGGTGCTGACGGCTTGGTGGCTGACGAGGGGTGGTGGTGGCTGACGAGGGGTGTGCAGGTGGTGGTCAGTCAGTCAGTTAATTAGACTGACTGACTGACTGGCTGACTGAACAAGCCATCACATGCCCACAGAAGCTAATCAACCACACAAAACAAACACACACACACACACACACACACACACACACACACACACACACACACAGAGTCATATTGTAGGCCAGTGGCACTCAACCTTGACCTTGGCACTCTTAGGGAGGGGAGGACAGGGAGGAGGGAGGGAGGAGAGGGAAGAGGGTGGGAAGGAGGACAGGGAGGAGAGGGAAGAGGGAGGGAAGGAGAGAGATAAAGAGAAGGATGGGAGAGAGGAAGAGAGAAAAGGAGAGGAGGGAGAGAAATTAATTGGATTTTTAAAATTTGCCACGTACCGAAGCTAGTTTATTGTGCACTCCATACTAAGGGATGTAACCAAGTAGAAGGGGAGGAATGGATGGAGGAGGAGAGAAGGGAGGTAAGGAAAGGGAGGAATGGATGGAGGGAGGGAGAGAAGGGAGGGAAGGAAAGGGTGGAATACACACGCCAATTACGAACTTACTGTCCCGTGTGGTTCCTCTTGTAAGATAAACAAACACAAGGAAAACTGCCATTATTTTTTTATATGGGTTTTGATGTTTATAGGTATGAGGAGTCTTGAAATAGTTCTTCCTATTTATATTTGTTTTTATATATTTGTTCAGACCAAGGGTGTGTCTGTTGTGTGTGTGTGTGTGTGTGTTTGTTGTAGTGTGTGTTTGTGTGTTTGTTATGTGTCTGTGTTTGTTGTGTTGTTGTGTGTGTGTGTGTGTGTGTTGAAGGGACAGGTAATCAACAGGTGGTTATATGGTAAGAAAGAGATACACACACACACACACAAAGTGACAGAGAGAGATGATCACTGCTCTAACATCTGTTCTATGCTAATTTATATTATTGTTTTAGTTCCTCAACAACAGTCATGATACACTCTTAGTTCCGGGAGTATTGTGTGTGTGTGTGTGTGTGTGTGTGTGTGTGTGTGTGTGTGTGTGTGTGTGTGTGTGTGTGTCGTGTATGTGTGTGTGTGTGTGTGTTAAACTTGATAGAGACGAGGAGGCTGAATGGAGACCCCTGTTGACCCTGCTGCGGTTGGGTACCTAACCTAACCTAACCTAACCTAACGTTTGTCCATCCTCCTCGCCCTTTCCTCCTCCAACTTATCCTCCCTACTCCTCCCTCCACTTCCTCCTCCCAATCAGACAACAGGAGAGGTAACTAACCATACCCAGACTGAACCCTGGACACCCCTGGCCCACGTCTTCCTCCTTCACCGCCTTCTTCAGCGACCCTCAACCGTGGCTCCTGAAGGTGTTGGTGACTCGGGGGTAAGGCACACCTGCCCCCCCACACACTCCACACCTGTAAATAATGAGGGTTATTTATTATTGATGACACACCTGTCTTTTTATACACAACCTGTTGATATTAAGTACATTTGTTAATACATACCTGTCAGTTAACATCCCCCACACCTGTGAATATTAAGTACACCTGTTCTGCTCTGTACAGCAACAACATCAACGACAACTTAGTGACGACGACAGTTGGGTGATGGGCATCTCGTTTACGGAAAAAGTCAAGATTAAATGTTTCAAACGTGTCTGATTCTTCGGGTGAAACCTTTCTATGTGGTACTGTAGACGCTTATATGTCTAAATAATACTGTAGCAGAAGACCTTGAGCTCGCGTATCATACTAACTGTGGAGACTGTCAGGAGTGAATGTTGACGCTGTGTGGGCCTTATTATTTATACACCTCGTGATGGCAACACTCTTATGTCAATAAAACCTCGGGGGAACTACTGATGAAATGAAACGTCACGAAAATCAGCCAATGACCATCCGTATCCATTTTTCACGCTGTTTCCTCGACCAATTATAACTGTTTTTGAAAAAGCCTGTTAGTTCACGGAACATGACGCTATGTTGGTGACTTCAGTACTCAGTAGCCTCTTATGTTTTGAGTGAGCGGGCTGTCTGTCACCAACGTCGTTATGGCGTCATTAAACACCTGTAATAGTGAAGATGAGTTTGAAAATTACTCAGAAAGTGACAATAATCGTTCATATGACTCTTTTAGAGGACATAACAGTGATTACGATCGTGAAAACCACATAAAAGTTAGTGAAGACAGACTTAGAGGCAGCACCTCAACGATACTACCGGCCAGTCGGTTCATCACCCAGATATCTCCACCTCCTCCACTCATTGTGCCTCCCTCACCCAGACACCTCAACAACATGTATATGGAGCAAGTAACAAGATCACTAGATTACAAGATGTTGTAACCGCTAGATTAAGGTTAGGATATAAGTACCTCCGGCAGTATGTTCCTCAAACAGATGTGAACAAGACTAAATGTAAAGTGTGTGGCCAGACATATGGCCACACACTTGGCTACGTCCTCGACTGTGTGAAGATAGAATCGTTTAGGGACAGGTCCAAGCACACTGTGTGTGAAATGGCACAACACTTTCATCTCTAATGGCAAGATAGTCGACATATTAAGATTGTATCCACTTTTTTGCACTTGGTAGATACATCAGTTCCCATGTACAGAACCAAATACACAATGTGCTTGAATACCTCTCACGCAAATGTGAATAACAAAGTGTGAAGCCAGACATACTGCCTCACACGCCTGTACTCACGCAGTTGTGAATAAGTTACCCTTTATGTATAGAACTAAACAAATAATGTAATTGAAATACTGTGTAACATTCAGTGCCATAATATCCTGACAACGAGGGTTAATTATACTGACCCATTGTGAACCATACTGTATAATCCCTCACCCAGAACACCTCCACCTCCTCGTGCCTCCCTCAACCAGAACACCTCCACCTCCTCGTGCTTCCCTCACCCAGTACACCTCCACCTCCTCATGCCTCCCTCACCCAGACTCCTCATGCCTCCATCACCCAGTACACCTCCACCTCCTAGTGCCTCCCTCACCCAGAACACCTCCACCTCCCCTCGTGCCTCCCTCACCCAGAACACCTCCACCTCCTCCTTGCCTCCCTCACATTCAGACTCCTGTCCCCTCACCTTTCCTCCACTCCTCATGCCTCCCTCACCCAGTACCTCCCACCTCCTCGTGCTTCCCTCACCCAATACACCTCCACCTCCTCATGCCTCCCTCACCCAGAATCCTCATGCCTCCCCTCACCCAGTACACCTCCACCTCCCTCATGCCTCCCTCACCCAGAACACCTCCACCTCCTCATGCCTCCCACACCCAGACTGCCTCCAACCTCCTCTTTACTTCCCTCACCCAGAACACCTCAACCTCCTCATGCTCCTCACCCAGTACACCTCCACCTCCTCATGCCTCCCCACCCAGTACACCTCCCCCCTCCCTCGTGCCCCTCACCCAGTACACCTCCACCTCTCATGCCTCCCTCACAGTACACCACCTCCTCGCCTCCCCTCACCCAGTACACCTCCACCTCCTCATGCCTCCCTCACCCAGTACACCTCCACCTCCTCACGCCTCCCTCACCCAGTACCTCCACCACTCCTCCTTGCCTCCCCTCACCCAAACCTCCACCTCCTCATGCCTCCCTCACCCAGTGCACCTCCCTCCCCTCTGCCTCCCTCCCCACCCAGAACACCTCCCACCTCCTCATGCCTCCCTCACCCAGACACCTCCAACCTCCTCCTTGCCTCCCTCTCACAGAACACCTCCAACCTCCTCCGCCTCCCTCACCCAGAACACCTCCACCTCCTCATGCCTCCCTCACCCAGAACACCTCAACCCCTCCTCATGCCTCCCTCACCCAGAACACCTCCACCTCCTCATGCCTCCCTCACCCAAGTACCTCCAACCTCCTCATGCCTCCCTCACCCAGTACACCACCTCCTCATGCCTCCCCTCTTGCCTTCCACCTCCTCATGCCTCCCTCACCCAGTACACTCCCTCCTCCTTGCCTCCCTCACCCAGACACCTCCACCTCCTCGTGCCTCCCTTACCCAGTACACCTCCACCTCCTCCTTGCCTCCCTCCTACCTCCCCTCACCCAGTACCACCTCCTCCCCACCTCCCTCACCCAGAAACTTCCACCTCTCATGCCTCCCTCACCCCAGCTCCCCTCCACCTCTCATGCCTCCCTCCCAGTACACCTCCACCTCCTCATGCCTCCCTCACCCAGTACCTCCACCTCCTCGCCTCCCTCACCCAGTACACCACCTCCTCATGCCTCCCTCACCCAGAACACCTCCACCTCCCTCACCTTGCTCCCTCACCCCAGAACACCTCCACCTCCTCATGCCTCCCTCACCCAATACCTCCACCTCCTCATGCCTCCCTCACCCAGTACACCACCTCCTCATGCCTCCCTCACCCAGTACACCACCTCCTCATGCCTCCCTCACCCAGAACACCACCTCCTCATGCCTCCCTCACCCAGAACACCTCCACCTCCTCATGCCTCCCTTGCAGTACCTCCACCTCCTCATGCCTCCCTCACCCAGTACACCTCCCACCTCCTCGCCTCCCCTCACCCAGTACACCACCTCCTCATGCCTCCTCACCCAGAACACCTCCACCTCCTCATGCCTCCCTCCCCAGAACACCTCCACCTCCTCCTTCCTCCCTCACCCAGTACCCACCTCCTCCTTGCCTCCCTCACCCAGAACACCTCCACCTCCTCCCATGCCTCCCTCACCCAGTACACCACCTCCTCAGCCTCCTCACCCAGAACACCTCCACCTCCTCGTGCCTCCCTCACCCAGAACACCTCCACCTCCTCATGCCTCCCCTTACCCAGTACCTCCACCTCCTCATGCCTCCCTCACCCAGACACCCCTCCACCTCCTCATGCCTCCCTCACCCAGACCACCTCCCACCTCCTCATGCCTCCCTCACCCAGACACCTCCACCTCCTCGTCCTCCCCTTGATACCCACCTCCTCATGCCTCCCTCTCAGTACACCTCCACCTCCTCCTTGCCTCCCTCTTGCACCTCCACCTCCTCCTTCTCCCTCACCCAGTTACCTCCACCTCCTCATGCCTCCCTCACCCAGACACCTCCACCTCCTCTGCCTCCCTCACCCAGAACACCTCCCACCTCCTCATGCCTCCCCTCACCAGACACCCCTCCACCTCCTCGTGCCTCCCTTACCCAGTACCTCCACCTCCTCATGCCTCCCTCACCAGTACACCTCCACCTCCTCATGCCTCCCTCACCCAGAACACACCTCCACCTCTCATGCCTCCCTCTCACCCAGAACACCTCCACCTCCTCATGCCTCCCTCACCCAGACACCCTCCACCTCCTCATGCCTCCCTCCACCCAGTACACCTCCACCTCCTCATGCCTCCCTCACCCAGTCACCTCCACCTTCTCATGCCTCCCTCACCCAGTACCCCACCTCCCCTCATGCCTCCCTCACCCAGAACACCTCCCTCCTCCTTGCCTCCCCTCACCCAGTACCACCTCCCACCTCCCTCATGCCTCCCTCACCCAGTACACCACCTCCTCATGCCTCCCTCACCCAGAACACCTCCACCTCCTCCATGCCTCCCTCACCCAGAACACCTCCACCTCCTCATGCCTCCTCACAGTACACCACCTCCCTCATGCCTCCCTCACCCAGAACATCCACCTCCTCGTGCCTCCCTTATCCAGTACACCTCCACCCCCTCATTGCCTCCCTCACCCAGTACACCTCCACTCCTCATGCCTCCCTCACCCAGAACACTTCCCACATCCTCATGCCTCCCCTCACCCAGGCTACCTCCACCTCCTCATGCCTCCCTCTTAGGCACCTCCCACCTCCTCATGCCTCCCTCACCCAGTACACCCACACCTCCTCATGCCTCCCTCACCCAGACACATCCACCTCCTGCCTCCCTTATCATGCACCCCTCCACCTCCTCATCCTCCTCCCTCACCCAGTACACCACCTCCTCACCTCCCTCACCCAGACACCACCTCCTCCTTGCCTCCCTCACCCAGTACCTCCACCTCCTCCTTCACCTCCCTCACCCAGACCTCCACCTCCTCATGCCTCCTCACCCAGTACACCTCCACCTCCTCCTTGCCTCCCCTCACCCAGTACACCACCTCCTCATGCCTCCCCTCACCCAGTACACCTCCACCTCCTCTTCCTCCCTCACCCAGAACACCTCCACCTCCTCATGCCTCCCTCACCCAGTACACCACCTCCTCATGCCTCCCTCACCCAGACACCTCCACCTCCTCATGCCTCCCTCACCCAGTACCACCTCCTCCATGCCTCCCTCACCCAGAACACCTCCACCTCCTCTCCTCCCTCTTGACACCTCCACCTCCTCTCTCCTCCTCATACCTCCACCTCCCCTCATGCCTCCCTCACCCAGAACACCTCCACCTCCTC